TCTGGGAAGTGGAAGGCTGAGTCAGAGACACTGCCAGCTGCCACCATGACAAACAGCATGTGAAGACACCGGCAAGCCATGAGCCACATGGCAAGGTATAGATTTATGGGGATGGATTAATTTAAGCTATAAGAACAGTTAGCAAGAAGCCTGCCACAGCCATACAGTTTGTATGCAATATAAGTCTCTGTGTTTACTTGGTTGTGTCTGAGTGGCTGTGGCACTGGTGGGTGACAAAGATTTGTCCTGACTGTGGGCAAGGCAGGAAAACTCTAGCTACACCTTCTATCGATGATTTTCTTTTTATCATGCTTCATGTCTGTCCTCTCCTCTCAGAGTGAGGTCTCTGTCAATGGGACTGTCATAAAAAAACCTGTGGTCCTCTATGGCTAGCTGTTCACTACTCCAGAGCCTTTTTTGGGTGATGGCAGTTTTTAGAAGCTCATGTATTTTCCAAATTCTGAATACACATCTGGATAAGTGGTCCAGGACTGAAGAGGTAGAGCAGATACTTGGTAATGGCAGTAAGAATCTGTGTGTGTGACAAACCCAAAGAGTTACCAGAGAAAATTACACACTTATGGGCAACAGGGAAACACTGTTCACTGGTGATCACAGAGTAATAAAACAGAAATAGCTCCTGGAATCCACATAAGATGCTTTTGATTTCCAAAGGCAATATGGTAAAATGATGTTAAGGGGCCACAGGTCAAGACATTGCATGAAAATAAAGCTGCTCAAGCTTTGTGTCCCTCTTTACTAGAGATTCTGTCCAAGAATTTGCCAAGGGGAGGACTGGAATAAGTTCACAGCTAGGTTTGCCATTTTGTATGACAAACACACAATTATGTTCCTTCCTTGCTGCGATAGCTCCCAGAGGCAGTGTTTGACACCAGGAGGCCCCCAAAGGGGGGGACCGCAAATTACAAGATTACAAATAAGGCAGCAGAAGATAGGGCACAGCCAACGATTCCTTAATGAAGACTGCGTGAGTAGCCAAACTTTCGTCCCAAATAACATAATCTTGGCAGACAAATGGAATTCTGAAGACAGAAGAAAAGCTTCAAGTGTTTACATAATTTCAACAGGGGAAGGCTGTACTGATTCTAGGAAGGGTGGGACCACCAGAGAGAGCCTGGCTACCATGCTGCGATGATTACCCCGAGCACGTTGGAAATTCACCTTTAAACCTTGTTTGAGTCTCAAAGCACAATAGGCAATTCATCCATTTCCTCCCACAGGACCCGGTGCATGTGGCCATCTCCTGAGGAAGGCAATCATCACCTCAGGGTGGTCTGCCTGAGCATCCTTCCAGCCCTGATTTACAGGAAGTTGGATCCTTGTGACTGTCTCAGAAGGATAAGCACGAGATTGGGAAGCAAGATTGGGACGCATTCGTGTGATACACTTCTCAGTTTGACACACACAACTTCTAAACCCACAAAAATATTGGCTATTCCCATCCCAACTTCTAAACAGAAGAATTTCTGTTAATTTTCTCTTGATTTTTTCCTTAAGCTCATTTCTTCAAGGGGTGAAATGGCATTCTTTTTGTATGCTATCATACAGGGAGCTACTCATATTCTAAGAAAGGCATAGTCTAGACTCACCAGGTAGCATCTTTAGAAGCCAGTGTAGAGCTGAAAACAAATTAAAATGATAGGCCAAGGACTGAAAAAAAAAAATAGCCCAGAGCATTTTCTCTAAAGCAATGACCCCACTTCTGTATATCTGCACTCCAGACCTCTGCTGCCTCCTCAGTGAAGCACTCCGTATCAACTCAGACTGAACTCCTCAGGCACCTAAGTCAAGAACACTTCTTTTTTTAATTCTATATAGTGCTTACCATGGGCTGTATTTTTGCATTCTCAAAGACAAGAGCCATGTCTTCGATATCTTGAACTTAAGTAGAGCACCTTGCATAAACTAAATATTGATTGTGAAATCAAATCAAATCAAAATAAAATAAACCAAAACAATAGTGCCATAAGAATAATTCCTCCAAACAACAGAGAAGGAAGAAAAAAATACTACTTTTCAAGGTAAGACTTGAGCTAGTTTTCAGAATTCCTATTTACTAAGTGTAAGCAATAGGCCTTTTGGTTGTTTTCTACCTGTGTTTTTAAAATAAGGATAACATGAAAGATGAAGGCAGTGATGTTTATGAGTCATAGGGTCCCCATAAGAAGCTTCTAATGTCTTTTCCATTATGATTCTTAGTAACATAAGAACACACAAACAACAACAAAAAAAAAAAAGAAGAAGAAGAAGAATATTCCCACCCACAGAAGAAAACAGAAAGCTAAGTGTACGAGGGAGTTGCTATCTTGGCCATAAATCAAATTGGGAAGAACTGCACAAAGCGTTTGGGAAATGCAAAGCAGATAAGCCAGGAGATTAGCAGAAAAGAAATCTTGCACAGCCATGTAGGTGGGATGCACAGTAATGAGGAGAGAGCATCCTAGAGACGTGAGGAAGTGTTCCGCGCAAGGAAGCAGTCTGGTTACGAAATGTCACAATCACGGCCATGAAAAATGCCCAAGGTGAGCCAAGAACAATTCCGAGGAAGCTGAGTTGTAGGTGAAGGCATCCAGGTTGGGGGGAAAGAGAAGAAAAACAAAGCCGTGAGAGAGGAGGGAGGGGGTGGGGAGAAGACTGTCGGATAAATATGGTGAGGTCAAGGGAATGAGAGCTGCCTTGGAAGACAAAGGCTGCTGCTGTTCACTGGTCCACCTGCTGAGCTCAAGTCAACATGCAACATGGAAAAAGCTCCCTTCGCACTCATCAACCACACCCAGCCCTTGCCAAGTTCCCGTAAAGGACAAGGAGATGCCAGTCAGAGGTCATGGAAAAGAATGTAGAGATATATAAATGCTATTGGCCATTTTTCTAAAAATACGAGGTGTGCTAATTGGACTCAGTGGAGTATTAAAAAAAAATAGAGTCCATAAAGTAGGAAGGGAGACATGGGGGTGCTGGAGGGGGGAGGGGAGCAGGGGGGGCAGAAAGGAGGAAGTGAGGGATGGATATGAGCAAAGTACACTATATGCGTATAAATTTTTAAAGAATAAGTAGGAAACATATGTTTAAGGGACCACTTATATTACCAAATGGTAAAAGTGAGAAATAAGCACGTAACATACATGGGAATCTAATCAAATACACTTTTGCATAAGAAACACAAACCCTAAGGAGCTGATGTATTCCAGAGACCTCTTCCCTCTCTTGCATGTGTGTTTACCTAACACTATGGCGCTGCTCTCTGCCACCTCCTCTCACTGAAGTTCCTGTTTCCTCTTACTAATTAGCTGTCAGGACTGCAAATGAGATTCAGAGAACAAGGCCCTCTAACTCCTCATAGCCCAGCCTGACGTTGTTCTCTCGGGCATTGGAGATGGAAAAGCCTGGAAGAGGGCAGCTAAAGAACAGGAAGTTTGCACAGTCTTAAACCCTCACGGGCTCAAACAAAATTCCCCGTTTGAAACTGCTAGGCGCTATAAAGAGGAAACCATTTTCCATTGCCCGAAAGCACGCTGTAATAAATTGGCGATTATAGAGAGGAAGAAAATTAATGACTTTCAACTCCAGATTCTGCATCTTTCCTTGGCAACCCCTGGGCCTTGGCCTAATATGAACCTCTCTCGTGGAAATGAAACCAACGGCACAGAACATCTGATAGACATGGAATTAACTCCATTAAACTGATAGATGCGTGTTAGAGGTCTAAGGGTACCAACATATATGTGGGTTTTTTTTTCTCAAAGTGGCAAATTTATTGTACTGTTCTATTTTTGCTCACATGTTTGCTCCTCATTTTTCTAGAATAAAACATCTGAATAGGTAAGGTGATTCACAAACTTACAGGACAGTTGTTTGGTATATGCCTAGGTTGGGCATTGCTAAATTAAATGCTTAGAGTAATTGGCATGAAGCTGGAAAAAAAAAGTTCCAGATCTGGCACTCAAATGGTCCTAGTTACATCCCTTAAGCATGTTAACCGCACCACACATCAAAGAAACAATTATTCAGTATTACATGGCTCCTTCCCGCTGATTCAGCAAGCAGACTGCCACCGCCTTTTTCTTTACCCATCCACTAAGCTGGAAGCAAAGGACATTTTTAGAACAACGTGTCCAGTAGGTTGAGATCCATTTTACTATCTGGAAATATGACACATATATTTTTTTTTAAAGGTCAATAGCTCTGTGATCCCATTTCAATAGAAAGTAATTTGAACAATTTCAGTAAAGCTCCATTCCTTTTATTTCCACATTCCTCACAAGGGAGAGACCTTTTCTGACTTAAAAAAAAAAATGTTTATTTATTGTGGGAGCCTGAGGAAGGGCACATGTCATGGCACATGAGTGTCAGTGGAGAAGCAGCTCAGTGAGTAGGGCCACGAGCTGGGCCACGAGAGCTGAGCTCAGGTTGTCAGGTGTGGCCACGGACACTTTGAGCCATCTCGGTGGCCAACTTCACTGTTTTCATGGAGATTTTCATCGTTCCTTTTAGTGCTTTGGCTGACTATGATCCGAATAGAATTCTCTCTGAGAAGTCATAGCCTTCTCTTCATTTTAAAGTGTTTTTATTTTTTGAGATTATAATAAAATTATACTACTTTCCATTTCCCTTTCCTCCTTCAAACTGCCCCATGGTACCCTCCACCTTCTCTTTTAAATTCATGGTCTCTTTTTGTAATTGTTGTTGTTGTGTGTATGTCTGTGTGTATATGTGTCTGCCTGTGTGTGTGTGTATGTGTGTAAACATATAAATATATATAAACACAACCTGCTCATTCCATATAATATTACCTATATGCACAAGATTTTAGGACTGACCATTTGCTATTTGGTGTGCTTGCCCTTTCTCTTTCTCTCTTTCTTTCTTTCTCTCTTTCTTTCTTTCTTTCTTTTTCTTTCTTTCTTTCTTTTCATCTAATTATTATTCAAAATCCTTAGATTTGGAGATTTCAGGAATTGATGCAAAGCAAAATCAAGAAAAAATGTGCAATTTTATGTCAATTTATTTTCTTTTAAATCTTATTTTATTTCTTTTAAAGAAATAAAAAGGAAACAGAATGGAGGGAAAATGCCTACCCTTGAATTAAAAGGAAACAATGCTATAAGATGAGATGATTTCACACAGTGGAAGGATGCCAGGAAGAAACTCAGGAGATGAATAACATTTCCCTCTTGTACAAGATGGCTCAGGTTTCTCTCTTATTGCCAATTTGAATTCTCCATTGGGCAATGCCAGATTCAAGATGTATGTCCAATAATCCTTTGCTAAAAAGATAAAAGGAAAGTGTTTTTTCAGATAAACCAATAAAGTTGATTTTGACTTGGTTATGATAGCTACATTTGAACAATTAATAATTAATTCACAAAGTAAAAGCTTCATTTTTAGTCGATGGATAAACTGAATAGAGAGTATTTAATTGAATTGCTGTAAACAAGGGGACACAGAGGTAGAGACTTTAGTAGTGACTCGGTCTTGACCTCACTCTCTAATGAAAGAAAGAGAAGTATGCCCCTTGTAGGGAAATATTAAACCATCAGAGCCTATTGCTATTGACTGAAGTAAGCACTCAAAGGGGAAATAGGTTTGGTATGTAAACCTATTTTCATCTCCTAATACATAGTTAATGCTTGAAAGTTTGGGAAATCTGAACATCATTTGGCTGATCCCTTTATCAAGATACCCAGTTAAAATCAGAAGAAGTAACAGCTCATAATAATTTAGATAGATAGATGAATGGGTAGGTAGATAAACATTAATAGATACATGCATATAGATATATGAACATATAGATATATGGTTCGATACTAATCCAAAAAGACCAAATGGACTAAGGTTATCACCTGAATAACAATGAAGTCAGTGTGGAGCAATACAATGGCCCACTCATTCCTTTGACAAATAATGTACTGCCATTTGCTAAAAGTTCTCAGTCTTCTATAAGAAGTTAAAAATTGATCAAAATCAAACAAACTTAATGTACAGGTTGCAAAACTGAAATTAGTACATCCTTTTGAGATAATATCCCAGGACTAAATTTACAGCAGTTTAAATGTGCTCGAAATGAGATATCTGGAAGTAAGATGTGGTCTGCTCCATGGGGCAGCAGTAAGGAACACTTGCGATGAACACTGGAAAGCTCAGCAGCAGCAGGAAACTGGTGGGTTGTGACTCCACCCCACCCACCCAAGAACGTAAGGAAAAGTCTAGGAAATAACTCTCATGTGAAGCACAAATATCCTCCTGGCAGAGGCCCAAGAACTGTTCCAACTGGGTTTTTTAAGAAAAACTGCCCACATCAAAACTTTCCATCAGAATTGTGTAAAGTACTGCTGCCAAGCAGGGAGACATGGGCCATACAAGGTTTGATGCTTCTGTAGTTAAAAAGAGAAGGACTGGAGAGCAGCAGCCTGTTTGTTGTTAGGGAAGAATTCCACAGTGAGTGTCAACCAGAAGAGCTACTAAAATGAAATGCCCTTACCATCTTTCATTTATATTAATCAGCTCTATTGCAGTCAAGGGCACCGAGAGAAAGCCGTGTGGGATCACAGCCACTAATAACACAAATGATAGCATTCCCTGCACCTTCCTTAGATGGAAGGCTTTGTGTTTTCCCCAAGCACTTTGCAGCCATTATCTTTTTAATTCTTACAACACCTGAGGTATGCAGGAGGCATTACCTCACTTTGTAAGTGTTGAAGTTGAGGTTGGTGAAGTTTGACTGGCCCCCAAGTCAACAAAGGAACTGCATCTACTGGCACACAGAAAATGTCTTAAAGAAGACACGAACCCCAGTGAAATACTGAGTGTTAGGATTCTGGTCCCAATATGTAGCAATGATATAACCAGGAAAACGAAAACAAAACTACAATATTAAATAAAGACATTAACCAAGATGATATGATCCTTAACAAACTCTGAAATACATTGAGAGAAAGTAAATTAATATCTTCTCCCCAGCGATGCATAGAATAACAAAAAGGAATATAATTTGCATAGAGTAACAAAAAGGAACAGAAGTCAAACTTCTGAATTAAAGTAGAAATTATTTTAAATGCTGTTTTAGGGGACTGGAGAGATGGTTCAGCATCTAAGTGTGCTGGCTGCTCTTTCAGAGGACCCAGGTTCATTTCCCAGGATCAGTGCAGTGGCTTTAACCATCTGGAACTCCAGTTTCCAGAAGACCACTGCCCTTTTCTGGCCTCTGAGGGCACCAGGACCACATGTGGAACACATATATACATGCAGGCTGAACACATACACACTTAAAATTTTTAATGAATTTTAAAGATCTTTTTTAAAATAGAAGAAAAGTCTGTTATGGGCTATTTTGTGACAATAACATCAAACTAACTGGAGTTCCGTCAGCTTAAACGCTCAGGTTCATACTCATTTTTGCTTTTCTGTTTAAGGACTGTACCTAAGGGTCATACACATGTTAGGCACATGCTCCACAACTGAGCCATCCCATCAGCCCCAGGTCTGGGTTTTTTTTTATTTGTTTGTTTGTTTGTTTTGATTTTTCAAGACAGGGTTTCTCAGTGTAGTTTTGGTGCCTTTCCTGGAACTTGCTCTGTAGCCCAGGCTGGCCTCAAACTCACAGAGATCCACCTGGCTCTGCCTCCTGAGTGCTAGGATTAAAGGCATGCGCCACTACTGCTTGACCCAGGTCTGAGTTTTTAAACAACACTTAGTAAACAAAGCAGACGTTGCCTGTCAGTTTTAGATCAAGTGCCCACACTATCTGGCTGCAGAAACAAAAACAAAAAGCAAAGGCTGCTTAACTGTGAATGAATGAGCAAATCACTAGTTGGCTAAATACATAAATATATACGTAAATAACTTTTTAAAAAACGAAGGAAACATTTAGTTCATCTTCTTCTTTGTGAGAGTCACTCAATTTCCTTAATAAATAATATCTAAATCAGATCTGACTCTTTGTCCAAAAGAACAGGAAAACACTCATGGAAGAAACATGTGAACAATGATGGTGATTTTCACGGTGGAAAAGCCAAGTCTCTCCAGATGGCCTGGGGCAGCCTCAGTTCCTACCACCTTGCACAGCTCACCTCACTCCAGGCATGCGTCTCCACGCATTTCAGCTCCACCTGAACGAACCGGCATCCCTTCTCCTTCCTGTCAATGTGTGCATATTCCACCTGCCTTTTGAACGGCAGGTTCTAGGGACCGAGCTTCAAGGAAGCACAGGGATCCTGAGCTCTCTTCACTCCAGCTGCTGAGTCAGGGGTCAGAAGCAAGGGACGGAGGGAAGGAGTCTCACAGTATCCATGCACTGTGTTGACTAATTTGTTCACTTTTTTCCAAATCCAGCTTTCATCCTGAGCCAGGCAGTTTATGTGTTTGCCATTTGTCTACATAATAACTATGCATTTTATAATTATAGGAATATTTGTTTACATGATTATCTTGAGTGTACCTTCAGTCCATGTGTCTATTATATGTACTGAGGTTTGTAAGAAACACACTGGAGGCAATGCTCTGTTTCTCCACCCACATCCCCACCAAGGTGAGGACCATGGCTTTATACTCCCTGCTCTGAGAAGACTGTGGGAAATCGTCCTCATGGCCATCCCCATTCGGAACTCTCTGACTTGAGTAAAGATATCTCAGCTTTAGAGGCCATGCTGTTTACTGATTTTCTACATCAACACCAGGAATGCCCTTTTTCCGACTCAGTACGAATCAGAAAGGCTATCACAGCTACTGTGGCCAGTCTCTTGATATCTCAGCCTAGCTCAACATTCCCTCTTGCAAACGATAGTCAACTCTTCTATGAGGATTATTGCCTGAATATTCCCTGACAAATACTTGCAAGTCTGTTTCCTTTTCAGAATCTACTTCCTGTGGATATCTCCTACTATATAACCATGATATTAACTAATGTTTCCTGCAGATGACTCAAAATAAGATACAAAGTATATTAGCTCAAATTCTGGACAGATTAAGGATGTCTTAGTTATGTCTAGAGTTTGAGAGACATAAGGCAAATTATTTATAATTCAATAAGAAATAAAACTTTCTAAGTTAATTCTGTATTTCCAGAAACCTAGATATTAAGAGACTGGGATGATTTGGTTTAGAAATATATCAAGTTTCTTCAAGTATTTTATTTTATATGTGTATTGTGTGTATGTGTATTCATGTATGTGTTTGTATGTATGTGTATATGTGTATGTGTGTGTATCTATGTATATGTATGGGTATACTGTGTGTGCATGTGTGTATGTGTGTATACACATATGTATGTGTATGCATGAGTACATGTGTGTATGTATATGTGATGTGTATGTATATGTGCGTGTATGTGCTTGTGTGTGTGTGTGTGTGTGTATTGTGAGCCACATTGTTTTTATGATTTCTTTTTCATTAAGTTTATGTAGCTATTACCTTTGGTTACCTACCAGAATTGGATGGTAAGAGCCTATTGCCAAAGACAGCACACACCTTAGTTGCAGACTAATGACAGTTGGTGACTGCTTCAGGGGAGGGAGTCCTGGTCTTCAGTAAAGTGTCCACTAGTAAGTTATTCATATCCCAGTAAATGGCTTCAGACAGATTCCCACAAAAGTAGCCCTAGTTAAATCCAGTGAAGCCACAGACCAAAACCAAAGCGGTAAGACATACACATGGGATGGATGTTTAGGAGGAATGTTTGTGGGGGTGGGAAGGAGGGTAAGAGGGACAGAGTGAGGACAGTGAGCATTTAGTTCCTGTTGTGGGGCAGTTGTACACCGTGTGGAGGTGTATTGCTGTGATTGGTAGAATAAATGGAGCTGAATGGCCAATAGCAAGGCAGGAGAGGATAGGCAGGACTTCTGAAGAGAAAGAAGAACAGGAGGAGGAGTCTAAGCATGTGGATTTTGTCAGCAGACTCAGAGTAAGTCAGACATGTTGTACTGAGGAGATGTAACGAAGCCATGTAGCAGAATGTAGATTAAAAATATGGGTTAATTAAGTTATAAGAGCTAGTTGAAAAAAAAGCCTAAGCTAAGGCCAAACTTTCATAAGAAGTCTCCATGTCATTATTTGGAGGCTGGTGATCCAAAGATAGTCTGACAAAGATTACTACAAGTTCCTATTAAAAGTGGGCCTTCCACACCATTCACTTCTTTTGGTGATCTGTTAAATGACAAGTTAATTTTCAGAAACAGTAATTTGAACTACCATGTTAGATGCTGAATTCTATTCTCAATCAAATGTAGTGCCACATATTCAGACTTAACCAACCTGATGGATTTTACTAAGAACCACTCAGTTCTTACTGACTTGTCCTGCATTTGGTTGGCATACCTCCAAAGCCCATGCATTTCTCTTCGTAAGTGGAGTCTTCTAATCTCTTGTTCTCCCAGAGTGTCAAGAAGCCACTTGGGGATAGATGTTTGACTGTTGAATCTTTGGAATCTATCATGACTCCATGGACCACAGACCTGCCTTCCTTTCTTACAACGCAATAAAGTGTTAGATGACTCTCTGCCTTATATAGTCTTCATCATGCTCAAAATGAGCCATACAATCACTTGTGGGAAACAAACAGTGATTTTCATATTTTTGCAGTCCTGAGGATGAAGTCTAAGGCTGTGTACATTCTAAGCAAGCAAATACTTTGCCTACTGAACTGAACCTCTAGCCCTGAATTGTGGGAGAAGAAGCTAGAGAGGAGGGTAGGGACAGGACAAAGAACTTGTCTTCTCTGGTAAAATTCTTGGACTTGGTGCATAGGAACAAGGAGTCATTTTCATTAAAACGAGAGCCAAACTTGTATGTGTTCTAGCACTATCATTCTAGCTAAAGTACAAAAGAAGAAAAGGGAGGAGGCTGTGAGGAGGCTTAAGGAGGCTGTGAGGAGGCTGAGAAAGGGCTGTGAGGAGACTGAGAAGAGGCTGTGAGGAGACTGTGAGGAGACTGAGAGGAGGCTTGAGGAGGCTGTGAGGAGACTGTGAGGAGGCTGAGAAGGGACTGTGAGGAGACTGTGAGGAGGCTGTGAGGAGGCTGTGAGGAGGCTGTGAGGAGGCTGTGAGGAGGCTGTGAGGAGACTGTGAGGAGACTGAGAGGAGGCTGTGAGGAGGCTGTGAGGAGACTGTGAGGAGGCTGTGAGGAGACTGAGAGGAGGCTGTGAGGAGGCTGTGAGGAG